GAAAAGATTACAACCTCAACAGAGACACTTTGTGCAGTTCCTCCAGACAGTTGGGGTTTGAGGGATGCTGGGGGCTGTGGGACAGTCCTGCCCCAAGCCCTGGAGCCTGCAGTCAAGGTGTGCCAGCCCCACAGCCACTTCCCCAAGGCTCACAAATAGCTCAAACTCAAATTTTCCCTGTTTTTTTGTAATTTCCTTTCATGCCAAGGATGGAGAAGGGAGTGAAGAAAGGAGACTTTTTAATTTCACTTGAATTTGTACTTCATCCCCTTTGGTTTGCTTTGCTTCTGAAGAAAGGCCAGAAGGAATCTGAGGCATCAAAAAACCACAGCATTCCCTGGGGTGTGGTTTTTTTCAGACAATTCTCTTGCTGGAAGACCTTTCACAAGATATGCATTTCTTATCAGCTGTGAGCAACTTCCTACTGTCACATGGCTTCAGGGAAACACATGGGTCTCATGTGGAACTCAGCCAGTGGTGGCCAAGGTTGGCTCACACCACCAGCCAAGGTGATCCTGCTCTCCACTTGACCTGTCACACTGGAGACAGATGTTCCCAGTCATTCCCACAGCCACAGGTTCCTGCTGGAGCCAGTTCCTGGATGTGACATCATCTCAAAAATTCCAACATTTCTCCAGATTTTTTTTTGGGGGGGGGGGTGGTTTCTGGATGCTGGTGGAAAGTCAGCAGGGCTGGAGCGTGGAGCAGGGCAGGATGGAGGCTGCTCCAGGGGGTGGTGTGTCTGGGCTTAGGGACAGTTTTGGGCATCACAATGTAAGATATTAATCTATTAGAGAGTGTCCAAAGGAGGCAATGAGGATGGGGAAGAGCCTTGAGAGGCCGTAGCAGGGTGGCTGAGGCACTTGGTGTGTTCAGCTGGAGAAGAGGAGACTGAGGGGAGACTCATCACTGTACAGTGCAGGGGCAGCTCTGAGCTCTGCTCTCTGGGACAGGGACAGGACACAGGGAATGGCTGGAGATGTGTCAGGGGAGGGTTAGGTTGGATATCAGGCAAAGGTTCTTCCCCCAGAGGTGTTTGGGCACTGGAACAGCTCCCCAGGGCAGTGGTCACAGCCCCAAGCCTGACAGAGCTCCAGGAGTGTTTGGCCAATGCTCTCAGGATCAGGGTGGGATCCTTGCAGATGTCTTGTGCAGGGCCAGAAATTGGCCTCAATGATCCTTATATGTCCCTTCTGACTCCAAATACTTCGTGATTCTGAACTCAGGACATTTTTAAACCCTTCCCTTTCTAAATGAGTCCTGACTCCTCAGCATTAGGACCTGCTATAAATAGCACTTACATCAGTCTCATCAGTTTTGCCCAGGTTCCCCTTTCACTCAAGACAGAGAATTTCCTATTTCTGCTATCACTGAATTTATTTTGGGCATTTGCTTGATTTAGCACTTTCTCCTGGGATTTTTTAGGGGACTTGTAGAAAATCTCAATCATATCCCTCTATGTAAATCAGAGCAACGTCAGCCACACTAGTGATGGGACAAAAAGTAATGGGGATAAATTGAAAGAGGAAAGTTTAGGTTAGATATTAGGAAGAAGTTTTCCCTGTGAGGGTGGTGAGACACTGGCACAGGTTGCCCAGGGAGGCTGTGGCTGCCCCAACCCTGGCAGTGTTCACAGCCAGGTTGGATGAAGGCTTGAACAACCTGCTCTGGTGAGAGGTGTCCCTGCTCAGGGACCAAATGATCAGTAAGGTCCATTCCAACCCCTTGACATATATGACATTATGAAACTCCTTCAGATGGCCAATCCCTCTGACTCCAAGCACTGCATGCTGGGTCAGGTGTCCTGAAACCACCTGGAGTGATGGTGGGACAACTTGTAGCTTCCACCTCCATTTAGCTGTGCAATGAACTTCATCCCTCTGGAGATGCTCCAGCTCACTTTGCCCACTCTTCTATGGTTGTCTCCACATCTCAGGCACCTCCCAAAGGAGACGTTTCTTCTTTTGAAACATGCATCACCCTCTCTTCATAAGAGGGGGAAGAGCTAGAAGAAGTCACTATGACTGGAATATGGGGTAAGGAAACATTTTTGAGGAATATGTTGTAACGTCCCAGGGCATCACTGATATGACTGTAACCTCCCACCATCAGCCAGCCACAAGCTGGCAGGGCAGAAGCTTTTGTCAGATTTCTAAGGAAAAGTTAGATTCCTAGAAACCAAACAGGCTGGTTTTGTGGTCACTTTTGGCCATCGGCAGTAGCAAAGTTTCAGCCTTTACCAATCCCCTGTAACACACATTAGCTAAGCTAAACTGATCCTAAACTGACTAGACTAAACTAAGGAAGTTTTGTGTTTATTCATTCAAAAATAGTCCATGAGAGTCCAAAATAATTTGGCATCTTCTTGTTGGCAAAGGGATGAAGGCACAGAGGTGTCCAACTGCCTGAGAGGGGAAACATCTCATTGAAAGCATTTGGCTAATCAGTGCAGATGCCCAACTGATTCTGCTCTCTCCACAAAACTCAGAACATTTTCTCTCCATAAATGGCCTTTTGCCCCTATGTCCCTCAGGAGCAGGACAGGAGCAGATGACTGTAGGTGGTGGATCTCAAGACATGCCCCAGGAATGTCTGAAGGCACAATCACAGGGAACAGCTCAGAGGCAAATCAGACTCTTACGTACATCTACAGCTTGTGTTCCCTGAGCAACCAGACAGGAGCCAAGTTGATGCTGGTTCCTGGTCCAGCTGGAGTCCATGCAGGGCTGCATTCCCAGCTCCTGCCTGGCCAGGAGCCCTGCCTGTGGAAGCAGGATCTCTCCTCAGCCTCCCAGGATGTCTGGGGAAAAGCAAGCCAGCAAAGACAGTGAGGGAATGGGATCTAACTGGGGAGTGAGTCTGTGAAGTGCTTCTCTTTGCAGATAGAATGGAATCATAGAATAGAATCTTCAAGGTTGGACAAGACCTCTAATATCATCAAGTCCAACCTGTCACTGCTGTAACCCCTAAACCATATCTTCCAGCACCAGGTCCAGACACCTCTTAAACACCTTCAGGGATGGTGACTACACCACCTCCCTGGGCAATATCCCAGTGCCTGAACACCCTAACAGGGAAAACATTTCTTCAAATACCTACTCTGACTCTCCCCTGACTCAGCTTAAAGCCATTCTCTCTAGTCCTCTCATTGCAAGCAAGGCAGGAGAGACATCCCCCACCTCTGTACAACCCCCTATCAGGTAGCTGTCAAAAGTTGGTGGATGGCAAAGGGGAGGATGGAGAGGGAGCCAGATGGGCCATGGTGTGGCCAGGAAGGTGATGATCAGCATGACAAGAGTCACTTTGCTCCATGAGGTAGTTCTGCCCTCCCTGGCCTGGCTGAGGAGCATCACCACAGCTCCCAGCAGGAGCCTCCCTGAGGGTAGGCAACCTCTGGGACTTCTGTACAAGCCCAGGGCCTCCTCATACTCCGGACCCCTCTGTGCCCACATGGAGCAGAGCAGTTAACCTCCAGAGAGCTAACTTTCCATGGGGCTAACCTGCCGTGGCTGGGGAAGGTCTGTGCCCACCATAGGGCATTGGAGTGAGATGTGGAAAACAACAGGTGATTTACAGAAGGCTTCTGGGGTAGGAGCCTGTAATAGAAACAGAGTGAGTCAGTGCCCAGCGCTGCGGTGGAGCTGCGGAGCTGCTGGGGCTGTGGTTGGGTTGCTCCACTTGCTGCTGTAATCCTTCCACTGGCTTTCAGGCAGCATCTGCCAAGACAGCACCACTTGGGGATGCTTTGAAAAGATTGACATGAAGACATTTCCCAGAAATATGTGCTCCCCTGTAGAGAAGAGTTAGCCTTCTAGGAATATCTCATTACAGCTGGACAGGCCTCAGCTCTTCTCAGAGCATCAATCAGCTCCCTGCCAGGCCTTCCCTCTCCTTCTCAGGGGCAGCAAGGAGTTTGTTAGACCACCATGGCACTCTGCGTGCAGGTTGGTGGCTCTTTCCCAGTGAACCAACCCTGTGTCAGCTCTTGCTCAGCCCTCAGAGAGCTGTGAGCTCTTAGTCTCTTCCATACGACATGCTACTTCCTCAATCTGTGGTCATTGCAATTTCCTCTCATCTGCTGAGCCAGGATACTCTTTTCTTCCCAACATCCCAGTTTCTGCCCATGCCCTAACCTCCCCAGTCAATCTGCTCTTGGTGTCTTCTTCCTCACTCTGCTTCATCTTCATGGTCACAAAGTCTCTACTTCTGGCATTCTGCATCCTCATGCCTAGTCTTTAGTAGCACTTGAAATGTAACTGTCTAGTCTAAATTGGTTGTTTAGGGTCTTATTCTAGGACCTGGAGTTCCAGGAGATAACACCCCATCTCAACTCTCCATTCCCTCAAATTGAGGAGGAAACTTGAGTGCTTCAGCTCCTGGAGCTCCTATTTCATACCTACCACTACCAGTGCTGTCACAGCTGCAAGACATGCCCTGAGTCACCCCAAACTCTGTGCAATGCATACAGGACACTGGTGACAGCTCCAATCTCCTGTTCCCGGGGCAGTGTGGGCTGTGCAGATGTGAGAAGGAAGAAGAAGAAGGAGACCTCAGTCCCTTTTTCCCTAACCAACTTCATCCCATGGATGCTATTCAGCCCTTTCTGCATGTGCTCTCTTCTCTGAGCTGCTTGGGCAGGTTGGGCAACAGATGACTTGATAAATGCAGGAAGCTCCCCAGAGGAACTTCTTACTAAGGGACAGGCATGAAAGAAGCAGAAATAGCCACAGTGAGTGTTTCATATCCTGTGTCTCTGGGGAGGCACTTGAATCGAGGGGGGAGCTTCACTCTTCCGGGGCTGGGGCTGTTCCATTCCATCATGGGACCTGCACCATGAGTGGACTCTCCTTTGGGGAAATTCCACCATGCCCACGTAAGCCTCTGCCTGGACCTCTCAGCACATAAATTGAGGAGTCTCTGACCATGTCAGCATCAGACAGAAAAGAAGCTTTCAAGCTCTCCTTGCCTGCTGCAGCTCCAGCCACCACTTCTCTGCTGACATGAAGGTCTCTGTGGTTGCCTTCACTGTCCTCATCGCTATCTTCTGCTACCAGAGCTCTGCTGCACCAAGTAAGTCCAAGCTCTTCCCCTCCTCCCTAAATGGGGACAGGAGAGATGTTGCTGCTGGGACAGGGTCCCTACTGCCAGCTCTTCCACACCAGGTCCCTCCCTGTGCCACACCATCCTCTGGAAGGTACCCCAGGGCCATGGGGGCTTTGCTGCCATGGGAAAGGCACAGCTCAAAAACCATTTAGGGTAAAACCTAAGCCGTTTTCCCCCCTTTTAGGGTAAAAAGAGGCAAAGCACAGCCACTCCTTCCATCCCTGGTGTGGAGGTCTGTGATGCTGTGCAGAGCACCCTGATGAGGGCTGGGGTGGCCAGGTTTGGGCTGGGAGGTATTGCCTGAAGGCAGCTCGGGGTGAGCCCAAAAGGGGAAAAGATTGAAGGAATAAGAAAGGAGACCTCATCTTTTCTCTTCCTCTTCCACATTCTCCCACTCCCTAGCCCCTGGGATGTGTGATCCCAGCTCTCTGCCTCTGTTTCCCATCCCTTGCCCCTGCTGATGACTGTCTTTGCCCTTCACAGTTGGCTCAGACCCACCAACCTCCTGCTGCTTCACCTACATCTTGCGGCAGCTGCCTCGCAACTTCGTGGTGGATTACTACGAGACCAACAGCCAATGCTCCAAGCCAGCTGTGGTGTAAGTCCTCTCCTCTGGGGCAGAGGTGGGATCTCCCCTTGGGATGAGGATCCAGGGAGGGAAAATTCCCTTTTCCAAAGAGGGAACGGAGGCTGTGGAGACAGGAAATGCAACGTGATGCTCCATGGGCTTAGGGCACAGAAGGTTCATGCTGGTCCTGCTCTACTACTGCTTGATGTGATGGGCACAGCTGCTACTCCTTGGGAGATCCTGGCCTTGGGCAGGGCTCTTCTCTCATCCCTTGAAGTGTTCAAGGCCAGGCTGGACAGAGCTTGGAGCAACCTGAGCTAGTGGAAGGTGTCCCTGCCCGTAGCAGGGGGTAGAACTAGAGATTTAAGATCCCTTCCAAACCAACCCATTCCATGATTTTGTGGTTTTCCATGTGTTTTCTCCCACCTAAAACTGTCCTCTCTGCTTTCCACAGGTTTGTCACCAGGAAGGGAAAGGAAGTCTGTGCTGATCCTGAGCAGAAATGGGTCAAGGAGTATGTGAATGAGCTGGAGTTGTCCTGAGCTCCTGGACAGACCCTGCTGCTCCATGGCTCCTGGATGCTGGAATGAGAGAGTACAAGCAGCTGTGGGGCCATCAGAAATGCTTCAATGTGACTTAGAGCTAACTGAGAAACTGAAAATGTTCCAGAGTCTAACTTATTGTTGTGGCATTTAATTTTTTATAGGGGAGGGGCCAAGTGCAATAAAATCTGACAGAAATGAGACTTTTATTTAATAGAGATATTTTTTAATTTAAACTCAGGTTAGATTTTTTCTATGCAATTAATTGTATTTTTGACCTAATATTCAATTCAGATGGCAATAAATCAATATTTTTGTAAGAACTTTCTGTCCTTGCCTCTATTTTTGGGTTGACAATAACTGAAATTATAATAGCAGCAACATGTTCTTGATTTCCTTTCCCACATTGACAAAACCCCCACAAATTTTCCCTGTCTGAATGTTCTGGTTTGCAAAATAAGACAAGAAATGCCATGAAGGAGGAGGTGTGAGAAGGGCAGAGATTACATTCAGGTATCCTGGCTCACACTTTATAAGGTATGTAATCACCACTCCTTATGTCTACTGACAGCTCCTTAAATTCCATCCTGGCCCCATTAGAGTCAATTAAAACATTACCTTTAGGGGCTTAAAATTAACACCTTGCCTGTTTTTGGGAAAGCTTTCTGGGAGCTGCAGCTAAAATGGATCAGCTATTCCCAGAGCCAAGGGTGGAAAATATGTCCCACTACAAGATTTTCAGAGCTCTTTTTTAGCTCTGATTTAGCTGAGACATGAGGCTTGGCAGATATTCCCACTCAGAAGAGAAGATGCTTTTTGTCTGTGCATCCAAAACCTGCCCAGCTCTGGAGATGTCTGTTCAGGGATGCAGAGTTCCCTCACCATCACCCTGCCAGACCTCAGCTCCAGGGCAGGACCTGCCAGTGCAAGGAGACATCTCCACTGGTCCCATCAACACTGAGAAGATGGAGCCCAAACTACTGATGGGATTTGGATTGCTCTTATCACTGTGAGTGTGGTGAGACACTGGCACAGGTTGCCCAGGGAGGCTGTGGCTGCCCCAGCCCTGACAGTGTTCAAAGCCAGATAGGATAAAGCCTTGAGCAACCTGCTCTGGTGGGAGATGTCCCTGCCCAGAGCAGGAGGCTGGGGTTGGATGATCTCTAAACTTCATTCCAACCCCTAAAATTCCATGATTCCATGATCTCTGGACAGGCCCTGTTGGATCAACAAGTTGGATTCCTCCTACCTGGCCCTCTGGTGCCTACAGGGCAGCCCAAGGAAAAAGACTCAGCTCACCCAACTGTGTTTCCATAGTGATTTTGCGAGGACAAACAGCAATGACAGCGTGAAAGAGGGAAGCAAG